ATTATTTTTTATTGAAATTAAAAGTTCTTAGAACCACCCAAACCTTCATCTAGCTTGTAACATGTAACATAAAATATTAGAAATCTTTTATAAATTTCAAATGACTCGACCAATCACAATTCTCGATGCATACCACCTGCATATTGTATCTTTACTGTATGTGGTAGTAAATCGACCAATGATTGACACTTATTAACGCTGGTTACACTGCACAATTTAGATACTTGGCAGTTTTGATAGCAAGCTAATTTAGTTAAAGCCGGCTAAATGTTAAGTTATGCTGCAGGAGTATATCTATAATGTATAATGCATATATATTTTGTATTGTTTTAATCTGCAAGTGTCTGTAAAAAAAAATATTTTTTTTTAAGAGTTTGCTATATTCTGAAGTGATTCTTTGATAGTGGGTACAACTTATTTGAAAGGTATTTTAAGACGCAAACAAAATTTCATGGATTCATTGACTTTTGATATTAATGGTTGCCAAGACGTGCTTGAAAGCATGCAAGAATGAAGACGAGCTCAATGAGCGTTCCATTCTCTTGTCAAGTTTCTTTGATCATTTTAACCACGGTATTAATAACAGTGGATGCAATGAGTTTTATGGGTTTCTGTCACGATCTCAGCAACCATGTGGGCTACTGTAAAATACTTAATTTTCACTTGGAATTTATATTTGCTGAAGGAATGAATCAGTGAAAATAAAATCCAGTGAGAATACTTCTTTTCCTATGCTTTACACTCAAATCAGCGAAAATAAACTTCCCACAAAACAACCAAAAATTTTCTCAGTATTTTACAGTATTTAAGCACCAAAGTCAATTTTTGTTATTCACAAAAAAAAACACCATAAATTATTTTCCATATTTGATCAAGAACTGTAGCCAATGGTTAAAATGATGTCTATTTGGATAAAAATTTTGAAAAAAAGCGTAAAAATATTGGCCCAAAATTTTGGTGGGAAAAATAAATATGGCAATCAAAAAGTTAAATGGGAATTGTCGCCAAGTGTTTGGTTCTCTCCCACTGAACATTGCAACAGTGGACACGATAAATTAATGAGCAAAAACAAGTTGCATGGCAGCCATTTGTTTGGAAATTCTAGTTTGTGTGACCATGTATGGCAAGTCTGAATTTCAGGTACGATTTGATGCAAAAAAAAATGTATTTTTATATTTGTAATTTTCATATACTGGATTGTATTCATTCATATACAATTTTTTTTATTCAAAATTAAGGTTTGTCAAATAATAAAAGGTGAAAGTAATAAAAGCACAATTGGTTTCATAGTATGATAGCAACATTTGACGAGATAATTGTCCAAAATTGTTTGCCACACCAATTATGATGCAATGTTTGCCAGTGTCTAATTCATGATAAAGAGCAGTTCAAGATCAGAGGGCTCATTAATTAGAATTCCATGTTACAATTTGTCAATGACAGTCATATTTTTAGTGACTGTCAAACAATGATAAGCAAAGTAAGATTACGTTTAAATATTGGAATAGTATTTAGCATATTAACTACAAATGTGCATGAAACAGGTATAAGGAGCAAGTTTGAATGAAATTGTCAAGGTATGATGCCCCAGAAAAAGTTAACATGCCCAAATGTTGATTTTTTGAGTTTTTTTGGGACAAAAATGGCTGCCAGTCTGTCAAAGGTCAACTAAATAAAAAATAAATTGATGTGCACTGGACAGTCCTGGGGCCTCATGTAAATGTTTCCTAGACATTCAAACGCCGTAGACATTTGATAGGAAACGAAACATTTCACGCAAGAGACTGTCCCCGTCTGCAGGTTTCCAGTTGATATGAATAATTCATAGTTGATCCTGACATCTCGAAATAAATTATATTAACATAATGTATGCAAATGTATTCTAAATAACCCCTTGAATGCATTGGTTGTCCACGTTATCACAGTCACTCTACTAGGAGAGTGACTATGACGTTATGAACACAACTCATGAAGAAATTTCAACAAACTAAACAGGAAGTCGCAGGCATTTTCATCTCAGAAAATAGTAACAGAGTGGGGGATTTTGACAAGACACATGTCAACACAGCACGCTAACAAACACATCTCTCCCTCGGTGTAGTTTGCGTCTGATATTCTTTGCAAGAAATATGGTTTTAAAGTGCATTCGTCAAGATTTGTTTGTGTCGCATCAAAAACTGTTGTGGAAAGTGTCGCATATAGTACAGTCAAAACAAACTTCGCGCAAGTCGTGGGCGATCCTAGTAGCCAGTGACCCCCGATTCACGATTGGCCACAATAAAATGATAGACATCTGCGCAACTATTCATTTGCATATGAAAGTACACGGATCTGGTAAGAAATCTTACCAGTGAATTGCAGCACTGGATATCCTGTCATGCCTAACGGCACTCCATACTACCTGCCCGGCGTTCGCAATTTACTCGCGCCTATTAAACTTATACACAATGTTTATTAATAACAGATTAATATTAGGCACAACCGACTAACCATCTAATATCTTCCCTTATGACGAGTTTGCACGAGCTTTGAAGAAAATCTGTCAAGGCATTTGAGAAATGAAGACGGACAGACCCCAAAACACAAGTCCCTGTTTCGGACTGCATTTTTTTTTTAATTCAAGCCCAGACACCAGTACAGCGACCAAGTTGTCCATGAAAATTGTTGCCGTACATTTAGAGAAAAATATCTACTTTTGTAATCAATTGGGAAAAACAAATACTCGCTTTTGTTAAATAAGAAATTTTATTGAAAATATTAATTCAAAACAAGGACAGAATTCACAAATGCTGACACACTTTAAGTTTAAGACATTTTCTAGTAAAATACGGCACAATACAAGAAAATGATATGCAGACATAAAAATACCCCTATAAAGAAAATAGTGTACAAATTAGCTTCATTGATTCAAAGGACCAAGTATGGTCACGAGATGTGATATCCAAGTCAGTCTGTCAAAGTTCCAAGTGAACACATCCTAGAACAGCTATACTTAAAATGAAGAAGCACGAGCCATGGGACTGTAAAGGTGGCATTTGTTATAGTTATGTTGTTTGAAATGTAAATTCAGACTACAGCATGATATGCTTGCATCAAAGAAAAAAGGCGGAAGCACAAACAATTCACCCAACCCCATACATTGAAGAAAAAAAAATGACAAAAGCAGTACTTGTTAGAATGTAAAAAAAAATTAGGTATATTCCTCCCAGATTACATCTGCATTGCTGATATTGTCATAATTTGAGAAATATTGCTCAAAATGTTTAATTTCTTTCATTTATTTAGAGTACAATCTGTGAGCAGCCTGATTCATGCAAAGGAATTGTGTTCTGTACAATAGCACTTATAAAGCTTGTAGGCAAAAATTCATGATGGCCGACAGGCAGACATCTTTGATTCAAGAAATGAGCAATTAAAAATAGGCAAAGAATGTTTAAAATTGAATGCAAAACAGATGATAAAATTGAGGGAAGCTGAAAAAAAAATGTATCGAAATAACCTGCAAAACCAAGTTCGTAGTGATAGACTTCCTAGTTGAATTGGCAAATATAAAATTTAATCTATGGATTAAATTTGTCTTGATTTTTATTTTTAACTATGCCGGGTTTTTTATCTTGAATAGAGAGATGCAGTGTGTTGGTTACTTTCTCACACTAATGGATAACTGGCCTGGGTTGCAAGACCACACTGGTTGTTACGGTTACGTGCCATCTTAATGTAACCTTGTTCTCCCCAGGTAGTTCCCCAACTGCAAAAGAAAATAGAATATACTTAATTCTTGTGATTGTGAGCACAAACCTTTTTTTAAATTGGCCAATTAAAGAAAGTTCAAGCAGGATAGGAGGTTGTAAGTCATGTTCGTCATACCTTGTATTTATCATAATACAGAAAATGAGAAAATAAATTGTGATCACCAGATTTTTTGTTGAGATACCAAAAAATGGAAATTTTTCATTTTTACACTAGTTTCTATGGCGAGATTTGTATTTCAAAATTTTGCTTGGCAACATGGGATGAGAAGTCATTTGTATGAGATCTAGTGCAAAATCATTTTAAAGAATAGACAAATTAGTGAGTTTCCAAGGCGATACTAGTTTTCCATTATATACAATACAAGGTCATTATATACAATACAAGGTCATCTCCCATAATGCATTGCATACATGTGCAGTAACATGCTCAGCAGTGTAAAATTTAGTTATCTTCCATAATGCATTGCATACATGTGCAGTAACATGCTCAGTAGTGTAAAATTTAGTCATCTCCCATAATGCATTGCATACATGTGCAGTAACATGCTCAGCAGTGTAAAATTTTGTTATCACCCATAATGCAATGCATTGCATACATGTGCAGTAACATGCTCAGCAGTGTAAAATTTAGTTATCTCCCATAATGCATTGCATACATGTGCCATAACATGCTCAGTAGTGTAAAATTTAGTTATCTCCCATAAGGCATTGCATATATGTGCAGTATTACATGCTCAGCAGTGTAAAATTTAGTTATCTCCCATAATGCATTGTATATATGTGCAGTAACATGCTCAGTAGTGTAAAATTTAGTTATCTCCCATAATGCATTGCATTTATGTGCAGTAACATGCTCAGCAGTGTAAAATTTAGTTATCTCCCATAATGCATTGCATATATGTGCAGTAACATGCTCAGTAGTGTAAAATTTAGTTATCTCCCATAATGCATTGTATATATGTGCAGTAAAATGCTCAGCAGTGTAAAATTTAGTTATCTCCCATAATGCATTGTATATATGTGCAGTAACATGCTCAGTAGTGTAAAATTTAGTCATCTCCCATAATGCACTGCATACATGTGCTGTAACATGCTCAGTAGTGTAAAATTTAGTTATCTCCCATAATGCACTGCATACATGTGCAGTAACATGCTCAGTAATGTAAACTTTTGTTATCACCCATAATGCACTGCATACATGTGCTGTAACTTGCTCAGTCGTGTAAAATTTAGTAAACCCCATAATTTAATGCATTGTATACATGTGCAGTAACATGCTCAGTAGTGTAAAATTTAGTCATCTCCCATAATGCATTGCATATATGTGCTGTGATATGCTCAGTAGTATAAAATTTAGTTATCTCCCATAATGCACTGCATACATGTGCAGTAACATGCTCAGTAGTATAAAATTTAGTAAACCCCATAATGCACTGCATTGCATATATGTGCAGTAACATGCTCAGTAGTGTAAAATTTAGTCATCTCCCATAATGCATTGCATACATGTGCTGTAACATGCCCAGTAGTATAAAATTTAGTTATCTCCCATAATGCACTGCATACATGTGCAGTAACATGCTCAGTAGTGTAAAATTTTGTTATCACCCATAATGCACTGCATACATGTGCAGTAACATGCTCAGTAGTGTACAATTTGAATTCAACTCAACTCAATCGCCTTAACGTGTGCCCTCTATGGCAATTAGGTATCATTTTTAGGGAAACAAATTAGCAACTTTCCTTTTTTTTAAATAACATTGCTTCATCTTCAACTAAACTACGTTTCTCTGGAGTTTGAAACTTCAAATCAAAGAATTGTTTTTTTCAGAATGCTGTGAATTGTCCGGCAACAATTGCATCAACTCACCTGTTTTTAACAAGCCAGTAATCTGAGGAATCTTCTGTACCATATCCCACCGTCAAAACACCGTGGTTTAACTCAGTACTGCTGCATTCTGGTTCAATGTACACACCTGTAACAAATCAAATTGAGAATTGTCAACGTCTAGAAAATCATTTGCAGATTTCGGACAGTATTTTGGGCCGAGTATTGCATCAAAACCAGGACTATCTGATTATCAACGTATCGTGACCGCTATAGGACTCTTAAAATGGCCTTTGTGGATAGGTGGTCTTTTTATATGGAAGTTGGACTATTTTTAATGTATTGTCAACTCTAACATTTTATATTTGTCCAGAAAATAGCGAGATGATAGTTGGAATAAAACATCAAATGTCAGTTGATCAAATTCAAATAGGTTTCAGGAAATTAAAAATTCTATAAATGGAATGCTAATTATTATTTTAGTCACTAAGCAAAGGCAAATCTGCAAAATTATTGCTGAAAGGGTGGTTACACAAGACAGGTGGTCATTATACACAGATTTCTCATACGTTACAGATAGCTCATGTTATGCCTTGGGACTGCTTAAAAGAGGCCACTATAGAAAGGTGGTTATTCAAAAAAAATTCAAAGCTATTTTAGATAAAACTTACCACTTGAGTAAAACTGAAATGATTGGTGACTTGCATCGATAGCCACAGATACTGGTCCTACAGTGGCCACAGCTTGTTGTAATGCAGATTCACTTCCACTCTCTACATCAGTGTAACCAGTGCAGGTGGCAGCAACAGCGCTAGCTTTGAATCGGCAGTCACCATCCTATAATAAACAAACAAATCTAAGTAAGTAATAAAGAAAACATCTTAGCATAAAAGACGAGCAGCCTCTTGGCTGAGATAGCTCCGCTGTTAGCAATGCACATTTCAATTAAAGAACAGAAGATATCATTAGAAAATGAACAATATGCATAGTATCAATGCAATGGGACTTGCTGTTTTCAACAAGAATTCAAAAATATCATTTTTCACCATAAATGATTGTGGTTTTTAACAAGAAAATATCACTTTTTACCAAAAATGACAAAAATATTCACCAAAATTATAAATTGAGATATCATTACAAATGACAAATTTGAGAGAGGTCCACATGTAGTACCTATATATGTAATATCAAAG